TTAGATCTACCATGGTTCATCTGAGGAAACATGTAAAGAACTGGAACCTAAGAAGGGTTGAGTGAACTTATAAGGATTAAGTAAAAGCAGAAATAGCCCAGAGAATACAAAGATACAGAAGTATATAGCAACAGCCCAGCCTAATGGACCTAGAGACACCAAATTTGGGGAGAGCGCTCCTACCATGGCGTAGCTGCTCACTAAGGGATTTTTAGAAATTCAACCCCTAAGTGGGTCAAAAAGGGGAAAATGTGTTCCCCCATTGATTCCTATGCAGCTACCAGGCAGCTGCCTCTCTGCACCCCCCACTCTCTGACTGGTCAGCTGCAGAGCTCAGTGTTCTGAGGTAAAAAACAAAAAAACAGTTACAGGGGACTGCAGAGAGCTAATGAGGAAATCAGAAGTGGCCAAGAACCACCTGTGAGGTGAAGCAAAGGTGCTGGCCCAGCCTCTCTGATGGCTTCCAACACACTCCCCCCACCTCCTACACATGACAGGCGGTTGTCTGTCAGGTGCAGCCTCACTTCCACAGTGGCTTCTAATACTCCTTCCCCCTCCCCCTATTACACTGAACAGGCAGTTGCCTGTCAGGTGTAGGAGAGGAGGCAGGATGGCTTCCATCACACTCTCCCCACCTCCTACACCTAACAGGCGGTTGTGTGTCAGATGCAGTCCCACCTCCACAGTGGCTTCTAATACTCCTGCCCCCTCCTACACTGCACAGGCAGCTGCCTGTCAGATGTAGGAGAGGAGGTGGGATGCTTACAGCCGCCGGGGAGGTTTGCTCAGCAGGATTGCCTTAGCACTGCTGCTGGCCCAACCTCCCCGATTCCTTTAAATGCAATCCCCCCCAACACCAGACAGGCCAGTGTGTCAGGTGTAGGAACAGGGCCAGGGTATGAATGTTTATGGGGAGATAGTAAAGGACATTTCTAGGAGCCATTTCAATGTGTGCCTCCCTCATGACCCTGAAGAAATGTCCACCACATCACCACTCCCTCACACCAACTCCCCCCACACCTCTCACCTCATACTGGCCCCAAGAAAGCTCCTGGCACACGTTGAGCCAGATACACCAACGCTACGAGGAGGAGGCAACTTAGGAATGCGGCAAAGACATTTGCACATAGTACTCCTGCAGTGCACTGAGCTGCACAGGCCAAGTACCAGCAAGATCACCCTGAGGTGCTCAGAACAACACAGCCTCCATATGAACAAAACAATCCAGGAACACAAGTAGAGAGGCCATCACTTTCATGGAAGGTAGCAGGAGCTGACTTGATGACTGCTTCTTAAATGTAGCCTGCTCCAGAGTGAGCTCATCAAGCAGCCTGGTGATCCCAGCACGTGAGGGCAGAACCACCAATGTGGTCTAGAGAGAGGTCCTTCAGCAGAGAGAGAAAAAGTACGTACGTCTCACTTCATTTCTTCCACTACAATCTTCTCCATTAGAATTCCTACAACAAATGTTACATTTCAGACTTCACATCATCAGTATTATAACTGGATTTGCGGAACTTAAATACCGTAGTGAAGCATGCGTATCAGGCTACTAGGTAATAAATATGTTAGAACTGGAGATTGATGTGCCCTAATTTGTTGTAGTTTCCAGCTCTAGCATATTTATTACCTGTTGTTCCCCCCTCCCAGTTGAACTTATAATGCTGGTTGTCATATTTCACAAAAAAACCCAAAGCAGACTGCAAGAGTCCCCTTCCCCCACAAAAAAAAATAATGGAATGTTTGCTAAGGCTCAGCACAAGGCGACAGTCCAAGACCAGGTCTACCAATACAGTGGAAAGTGGAGGGTAGGTGTGGGTAGACCTATTTTTTGGAGACTAGGTCTACCAATAGAGTGGAAAGGTGTGGGTAGACCTCATCTCTGGAGGACAGGTCTACCAACAGAGTGGAAAGGGGTGGGTGAAATTTGACTTGATTCTGTTTCCTCTTATCATGTTGAAATTATTCTTAAAATATAGCTTAAATATAATTTAAAATAATTTATTCTGACATTTTTACAAGGTTATAGAAGTAATCTTCTAAAAAACTAATTTACGCAATGGTCAAAGTATACTCGCTCACAACTTTAACGCAACTAGCTTTAACAGCTCACAACAACTGTGGAGCTTAGAGGGGACATTGACTATGACCATTTGTCCAACAACAAACACACACCTTAAGGATTTTATAGACAATCAAATCAAGAAAATAGCATTAAACATTTCTGAATGTGTCTATAACATATAGAATGGAAACAAAAGAAATCCAGGTGAGAAGGATTCTTTTGGTTGGTGCCTCTGAAAATCATTGTTCTAAGACAAGGTAACATAGATATTCTCTCCTGCTCTGAACTACAGTTAACTACATTGTGGCGATACCATCAGATTCTGTATTTTAGAAAAGCTAATTAAGTTTTTTTAAGTTGTACAGAGATGCTCCCTTCCCTAAGGCAGCTATTTCTGTAGTTCAATCCTTTAAAGATTAAGCCATATAGTTCAGATCACACAACATAGGTCATGATGGTTCCTGAGGACTGAAATCAATCAGCCAAACTACAGTAATTCCACTTCCCCTCCCTGAGGTCACAAACTAATGTGACTGGAATGGTGGGCACAAAGCTCCACACCAACTCCAATTATAGCAGCCTTCTGCTTCTTAAAATGCAATATAGCAATTCCATGACATTCACCAAGCCTTTGCAGGATTCATATTTTACTCCTAAAATCCACAATACTTCTCATATCTATTCAGATCTTCAGAAATATGTTTACATTCCTGAGAATTAGAACATGAAGCCACATTCAGGACTGTTCCCAAGATGTAATGATAGGAAATGGAATAATGAACATTTATCAGTATAAAAGTACTCTGTAAATGTACCTTCTTTCAAATGCAACAAACATTAACCACCCTCTTCCTGTGTGAGTCAATGAATTTTTACAAGTTCTGCAAGATCAATCAGATCCTGCCAAAGAGTGTATGCCAAGCCAAAGATTCAGTTAACATTTAAATAATACCTTTCTTTCTTTCTTTCTCTTTCTTTCTTATGTGGCATCTGAGACAAAGCATGCCATTACAGAAGGCCTTGAAAAGTTTCTGATGTGTTTTTATATTCTGACCCACTCAGAATTCTAAAATGATATTTTACATAGTAAAGTTGTGATCCTCAGGACATTTACCTGGAAGTCCCATTAACATCCAGTGGATTCACTTTTCAGTAAACATGTTTAGGCTCAGAATGCCGCCCTTAAGAGTACTTCTAAAACTCACAAAAAGTCAGCAGAACTGTTGAACTACTTTCATACAAGAACATGAATAACACAAATATATCAGCTAGGAATTAGTACAAGCTTTCTTACTTAAAAGTAGGGGGCAGAAAAGTTCTCTTTTTAGACAACAACAACAAAAATCCATTGCTTCAAGACAGACCATGAAAAACCCAAGGCTCCTGGCTACATGGAAATTTAAATGTTTATTCAACCCTGTGTTGGACTGGTTCCTACAGGTTTTTATGCAGGCTTCTAAGAATCTGAACTTATTTTTCAGACTCTTTAAAATACCCTTTGGGACCTCTTTCTATGACAATACAGAATCCCAATGTTTCAAGCATATGCAATATTACAACTGTGTGAAAGTTATTTCCAACTGTCAAATCCCAGCATGTACTTATGTAAGGCTTACCCAAGATTAAACATACCATGGTACTGTTCACATCTACAAGAATAAAGACAGACAGGTGATGGGATTATGCATCCTTTGGCACCTGAGAGAATCACATCTAACATTCAGTCCTTGCTTTACTTCTACATACCAGGTAAATAGAAGCTAAAGTAATATGCAACTTCTGATCACAAATAAACTGGAGTGTTCCCCACCCAAGACTTGAGCCTTACAGTTGATTAAGTCTGTGTACTTGAAGACTTCTGTTCAATGTGAATCCTCTCAGTGATGTCACTGTGGCTCACAGTCTGTAACTTTAAGCATGTGCATAAATCTTTACAAGACCAGGGCAAGGATTATATTCTACTGGTATAATTCAACACAGGCTCCCTATTGTATATTTATGGCTACACAAGTTAAACAAAGAGGAAAGTATCCCCAAATGACCCTCTTTCTTATGAAGTATGGCACACCTAAAGTTGCTAATAAGAGTCAAAAGGTTCTCAGAAGTGGTTGCAGCTAAAGGGGGTGTGTGTGTCAAATGCATGCACAAACTTCCAGGATTTTCTTTTAAAAAACATATAAGCCCACAGTCTCCTATCTAAAATATACCCTAATTGCCAAAAGCAAACAAGACAAGGACCAAAAGTAGCAATACTGGTTCCCAGCCACTGCATTCTAAATATATTCCCTAACACCTTTAAACAGACATCCTGGAAACTGAAGAGAAACGCAGAATGAATGGAAAGCTGTTATAACAAAGGGGCCTCGGTAGACGAGCCAGTCGGAAAAGCCACACAGCTCATGCTACTGCTTACATTCCTAAGGACGACAAAGCCACACAAAGGTCTTGAAGGTGTGGGGCAATCAGAGGGGAAAAAAGGAATCTCACTTGGAAGACTGCAGCAAGAGCCATAAATGAACAAAAGCTGGAGCGTTTTTGTACTGAATGTGGAAAATAAAGCACAAACAAGATTAATTTAAAAAACCCAAAGCAAAGTGAATCGGAGTCATTTTCTAAAATCTTGCGTGAATTCCCTGGGTTTAAAATCTACTTCATAACTGGGCTTCATAAACTATCCAGGCCGCCCAGTTTAACAAGTTTGTGGATCGCAGCCAACTGCCTACAAACAAAAACGCACACACAAAACTCAGCGGTGGTGGTGCTAACAAAAGAAACTCCAGAAGGAGAACCCACCCGAATACCCACAGACTGCAGACAAAGGAGAGCACTGGCAGGTCTCGCTCCCTTTCGCCACTGCCAGGTATTCCCCCTCCCCCCGCCCGAGGCGGCTCTGCCCGGCGGCGGACGTGGCTCCTTTCCCCCGTCGCCCACTTACAGGATGGTGGTCTGTGGCGACACGGCGGGCACGCTCTCCAGCATGAGGTGCATGCAGCGCACGGTGGTGCGGAAGCAGAGGCAGCGGCTGGGACACCACACGCTCCCCCGCTGAGGCGGCGACGGTGGGGGCGGTGGCTGCTGCTGCTGCGGGGAAGCGAAGGGCAAGAAGCTCCCGCTCCACAGCAGGACCCCGAAGTAAAGCCCGGGTAAAGCAGAGCGTGCTTTGCGCCGGGCCATGCCGCCGAGAGCCCCGGGAGTGGTGGGGGGAACCGAGAAGCAAGGAGACGGCTTCGTCGCGGCGGCGGCAGCAAATTGCGGCTCCTTGACGCAAGTTCTCGCTCCGGTGGTCGAGGCGGCCAGCGGGCGCTGCACAAGCGAGCCCGTTCCCAGGAGCGCAGCCTCGGAGGGGGTGGAGAAAGAGGGGGCGGAGGACCGCCCAGCCAGCAGCAGAGGCCCTCGGGCCGGTACGCGGTCTTCGCGCTCCGCGTCGGGCAGCGGACTGAGCTGAGGAGTTCGTTTCGCCTCCCCCGCCCCGAAGAAAGTCACGGCGCGAGAGGGAGGGTCGGAACCCAGCGGTGGAAATTGCGGCTAATTTTCCCGCCAGCTGCGCAGGGGCAGAGACGAGAACGCCGAGGCCCTTGGAAACCTTTTGTCTCCCTGCCCTCTCCGACCCGCGCTGGGGGGTCGCGAAATATCTCCCTCTTTACCTCAGAACCGACCCTAAAGGCTTGTTTACCGCCCCGCCTTTCTCCCCCCAGTGGCGAGATGCCTCCGGCGCTTTGTTCACACACAGAGCGCTGCGTTTCGAAGGGGAAAGCGCGGTAGGCAAGACTGCCTGGAAACAAAGCCTCCTCTTTGGAAAGTCGTCTTCTCTCTTAGACTCGCTCTTGCTATTGAAGGGTAACGGGAAACCGGGAATACTTTTATACCGACCATGAATCCCGCGTTTAAACCCTCGGAACAAATGCGGAGGGCAGCTGAAGGGATTTTAACACCCCAAGCAAGATACAGTTGTACAACCCCAAACACACACCCGGTGCCCTATAGTTCCAAAACAGCATAATTTGAGTTCATAGAAGATAACCTACAGATTCCTGGCATATAACATTTTAAAATTACTTTTATAATTCTACTTGGGAAAAGGCCCCTTGTGGAAATAAATACAATGGCCTCTTGAAAGAGGCTCTGGGCGGGTGCCCCGACCTTGGACACTCAGTGTCAATTTGCTGTGGCGACCTCAGCAGGGTATAATGACACTGAGTCCACCATTTTCTCCAGAGGAACTG